ATATGAGTGGAGCAGCTTTACATTGGAAGAGTGTGAGCAGTGGGTGCTTTCTAGCAAAAAGGAAAACTTTACTCAAGCTCAATTTGATAGGATAATAGATGCTCTGATCAATCATATGAAAAGTGGCACTGTTGAATTTAAAAAGATTGCTGTCATAATTGATGGAATAAAAGATGCAGTATCCTGCTTATTTGATAAAGTGGATACTATGGAGAAAGAGCTGAAGCTCCAGGAAGAAATTAAATTGCAGCATAATGAAGGAGCAGAAGTACAGAGAAAGGAAAAAAGTGAAGTGCTGAAAGAAGAAATGAAAGTGCTGAAAGAAGATGTGAGAAATCTAAAGGAAAAATATGAGAAGCTTAAGGAGCTTGAAGAAGATCTATTAATAGGTGAAATGGCCATCTTAACAGAAAAGGAGATTGTGAATTATATGTTGAAGGGGACAGGTGTTCAATGCAAGACTGATTTTATAACAATTAGAAATATTGAAGATGCACTTTATGGGCGTGTGAACCGTTATTCTGATGCAACGGAGATATTCACATCAAAGATACAAAAAAACAAAGCAAAGACAAATATCAAAGAATTGAAAGATGTCTATCATATTGGTGGCGGAATGTTTCGTGCCATTAAAAGTTTCAAAACATGCAGAAATTTTCGGGCTCATCCAAATATTGACATAGCTGATTTACGTGCTCGTTTAGCTAAGATTCAGCATAAACATAAAGAAACAATTGAAGAAATGATAAAAATATATGAGGCCTTTCAGTGATAAAGATGCACTGAACTAGTGTAAAACAGAGCTTTTTTGTCCTAGTATTGAGTCACATAGCAGACTGTGCATAGTAAATTTTTGTTATTTTTATAACTATAATGTGTGTGTTATTCAATTCCGCTGGACTGAAATCACATTTTGACGTCATAATTTATAATAATTATTGATTAAGCAATAACAATAATGTATTTAAAGGAGTAGTATTATTTATGATAGGAGTGACAGTTTACACAAAGGCATTACACTTCCTCTCAAGACACCATGTCTGCCACAGGAAACACACCCTCATGCCTGAACCAATCCAACTGAACCGGATTAATTAAATAAATTAAACATTATTGCTGCTATTGCAAGAGGAAATGAACCAATTCTTACACTGAATGTTATTAAACCTGTTAGTTAGTCAGCAATGGGGTTAGCATGGATTGTTACTCTTCTCAAGTAAATATCTTGAATTGGTCTATAATTCTTATCATTAACTGGTACCTTTTCTAAATCATCAAGAGTATCCATTCCATCAATCACTCTACCAATGAGAAATGACACATTAACTAATGTACTGTAGAAATATGTGAATCTACAATGCCAGTCTGGTAGCGAGAGTGAGTGTTAGCGCTCATGTTAAGTCTCGTTTAGTTGACATTCAAACCATAACTTCTTTATTAATTAATTAATTACTATATGATGATGGAAATTATTATTACACAACATGCATTTATATAGACAATATATCAATCAATAATTCATGAGTTCTGATGTAATGATGAGTCAGCTCACTACAGTACAACCTTGATTTTATAACTATTGAGTGTCAGCCTGCTTACTTTCCAAATATGGTGTATTTCATATCAAGACTGGGTTGTTTAGCATAAGTAATGAAGAATTGAGATCCATTGGTGTCACTGTGACCACTGTTGGCCATTGATATGATGCCATGCCCACTGTGCTACAAATATTAATCATTGTATAAGAAGTAATACTTAAGTATGACAATAATTTCATTAAAAATGACCACGCCAAATTTTTAAAACTTTCTGATACATATTGATGTCCTTTATGCTGTGTAGAAAGTTTGAGCTGATTCTGACTTCAATTTTTCGAGTTACGGCCATTTTAAAAATGAGCCAAAATCTGAAAAATGCCCAAGGCTATAGCCCATGGTTTTGTCCAAAAAATGGCTCCGAAATCACCCCCAATTTTTATTACATTTTCTGATACATATTGATGTATTTATTCTATGTAGAAAGTTTGAGCTGATTCTCTCTCTTTATACATCTCTCTTTATACTTGCATTACTTACTGCAGGGAAAGAACACTGAGTTATAAATTGCATGCTCTCTTTGAGTTTTGAGGTGAAAGCTAGGATGAGTAGGACTAAGACAGGAAAACATGACATTGCATCAGAACATACTGAGATTATTATGATGCATAAGCAGTATGTATAAACAAATACTCTAAAAACAGTTTAGATCTATAGCAGCTATACTATGGACAAGCAAAACCATTAAACCTGCATACTAAAACACGGACCAGCACCAACTAAAAAAATGGACAAGTACATACTAAAAAATGGACTGACACATACTAAAACACGGACCGACGCATACTAAAACACGGACCAGCATTAGTCAGGCGGGGCCTGACCCTCACAAAGAGAGGAGGGTCAGGACCACTACGTATACAGGATTCGTTCTGCTGCAGAATTTTTGCAGTACCGGAAGTTGTTTTTTATACGTAATATTAATGTTTAATAATAGATTTTATTTAATAACTATCTAGTT